ATGAAAATGAAGAGAAAATTCCTCAAAACCGCGAAGAACATTATGCTCTTAATTGCATTTTGCGAAAACCACAAACTCACAAACTTTCGAGTTAGATTAGGAATCGAGAAAATTAAGGTAAAGAATTTTAACTGAACTTTTTCGAAGTATATTCTTACATTACAAAACGGGGATAGATAAATAAATTTCTTAAAAATAAAAGTTTCGAACATAATAGAATTTATAAAATATAAAACTGACAATTTTGCTGCTGGAGAAACAAATAATTTGTTGGCAATGTTAAGAAATTTCTCAATATCTGTAACAAATATTAACACTGAATAGTATTCAATGAATATAAATATAGAGTGTTAATTGAATGCTCTAAAATAACTTGTTTCCATGGAATGCTTTTAATGTAAAGTATCATATTTCTAAAATATCTCTGTAAAATATTCCTGACCCTCCAATGCTGTTTCTGAGTGTATGTGTAACACAAGTACGGGCAGAATTTCGTTAAAAACGAAAAGATCTTGTTAATTTCGTTTCCTGGTTTCAATGATTTATGATGATTGTCGAGGACCCTCATCGACAATAATAAATCTCTGCGAAATACGACGTGGGAGCGAGAAATTTTCTTTTACTAAGCTTTTTTTTCAAACGGTAGTACAAAATTAACCGCATCAACAATCTTCGAATCGGCCAACAAAAGAAGCGCAGATATCCCCACACACATATTGCTAGCTACTAGCTCGGCCTATATAAACCCACGGACATCTCGCAAGTCTTCATTCAACAGACGCATATTCAGGTAATAAGTCGAGAGTACCGCGGTGTATAGAACAGTAAGGGAAACTATATCACTCGATATTCGCCAAATGGCAAGCGTGCATTTTGTTTGAATCCATTCAGCAAGCAATGCTTAGTCAAGTCATTTTGGTGAGATTCACGTAGCCCTTCTCGAGCAACCCTCAACCACTCGAGATACTTTCCTACCTAGACTAACCGAGTATCATTTACCAACCTTTCTTTCAACCTTTTGCCTCTTGGTCAAATTACTTTCAAATCTAAACATAATCAGAGGTTTCTTACATTTTTGCAGCTCTACATCGATTTAACAGAGACGTAAGGATCTCTTCTCTAAAATGAAGGCTGTGTTCCTCGTACTCGCTATACTGGGTAACCTATTGGTCCCCGATTATTCCTGTGCTCCTGTTAAATCCGAGGTAAGAATTATATTAATATGATTAGTTTCATTGTCAAGTTTATAAGAATAGTTACTGATGATCACTGAAGCGGATGATGATCAGAGAAACGATTTTAAGTACTTGGATCACTGATCATTCCCTGTACGAAATTTTCTGTTATGCATATCAAAACTCGCGATGTTTGAATCTCTTCTGCAATGATCCAAGATGAATTTATATGAATTTAACAAATTGTTAAACGTGTCAAGAATTTGACAAATAGCTGAGGGAAAGTTATTGTCTTTACTCTTAGCCCTATGTTTTAATTGAAACTATAAGCTAGGTCTTGATTCAAACATGAGTTTGCAGAAAAAGTGTACCTGAGATGAAAAAAATATTTTCAAAATTTTGTAAATCGGAAATTGATTCTTCCAATGTAATATATCATATGGTTTTCTAAAATTCTCAATTCATTCGAATCCTGTATATCCACCACATTCTGTTAGATTTTTAGTAAGTTTTGACATTTGACGTGCAATTATTTTGCAGGCATTCGTTGAAGAAATCGACAGAGTTGTCAACAATGTGGAATTTGATAAAGAGCGGTTACGTGGAGCATATGAAAGTGTAAAAGATCGACCTGATAGGAATTGCTACAGTTCGCCTTGTGGCTGGAATGAATATGACGTCGAAACGCGTCAAGCTAAGTTTTTCGTGCCCAATACGTAAGTTAAAATTACGATTCTGCGTAGCTATCGACTAAATACTTTTTATGAAAATTGTACCTACAGTATTTCTATTTAGATGATTAACATAATGATATATAATTATACAATAACACTACACTATTTATATTATTTATATTATAGTATAATTTTCATTAATGTGTTTCTTTAGTTATTCGTTTCACTGTCTGTTTATTGCACTAATATATTTGTCAAATATTTATGAAATATTAAACAAATTAGTATTCTACTATAGCATACTAGATATCTAGTAATACATACTACTACTACACCAGATACAGTGTCTGTTACTGCTTATGAATACATTATTTCACTACAAAAAGATTTTTTACTCTTTCCTTTTCTCCTTTAGTTGCAGATGTCCAGACAGTACGTACAAATGCGTACGTACTGGAGAAACACTATCCATCAGGTCGTATGTATATCATTGTAAGCAAAATACAACGAAAGATGACATTGAAGAAGAAGATTTGGCATATTTTCATTAAGAAAGATCCATTCCAAATCTGCGATGGCACTTATGCAATTATTACATATTAAAATATGCAAAATATATTCAAAATAAGAATTTATTATTATCATATTTAATTTTATTATTATTTTATTATTATTATTTTTTTTTTACTTATTATAATTTTCATTACAGTATGTAATTATAATTTTTTCCATACTTTCAGCAGTAAATTAATATGCATAATATAAAAATTAATTTAAATTAATATATATTATATACAGGGTGTTTCGTAACTTGTGGGGCCTACATCGGGAGCTGATTGTAAGCTCCCGATGTAGGCTAAAAATAATGAAAAAAAGTCATATATATATATATCTGTCCTATCTGTCTTCGTTTATGAGATATAATGAATTTTCTGTTTTAATTACTTTTACAAAAGATGCTCGAAATGACCACC